TGGGGACGTGGAGGCCGGGTGGGGGAAGGGACGCGTCTAAAAGTCACAAAGCGTTTCACATTCTAGAACAGCGCAGGGCCGGAATCTCGTATTTTCCTTCCCTTCCGAATGTACGGTAGCCCGCTCAGTCCTTGTCTTCAGAAAGTTCATGAAAAGCATGCAGTGTTTTTAAAAATGCGTGAATTTCAGAAATTTTTGCACTGAAATAAAATCTGTTTGTTGTGCTTCCCGTGAACTCTTTGAGCACCCTCATCTTGCTCTGCCCTCCGTCCTGGGGAAATCTCTCGCAGGGGAGTTAGTTGAGGTCGACCCGGGTTCCCGAGCTTTTGCGCGTATCTACCAAAATGAACGCAGTCCTACAGGATTTTCAAGACGACAGAGGGGAGACCGGCTTTTCTCAGATATTCCAGTCCTGCTGCACCCTCCCAACATCACGCCCCAGCTCTGCAAGACAGGAGAGTCTGAATCTTCCCATGTTAGGTCCAAGGTCAAGTCCACCACCTTCAGAGGCCTTCTTACCTCCCTTCAATCCCATGGGTCCTTCCTGCCTTATCTTCTGTTCTCTAGGCCCATAACAGTCACCGGCTTCTACCTGCAGTGGAATGGTTTTGTGTAGCTTTCAAGTCCTCTCTCTCAGCCGGCATCGCTCTTGTAACAGGCAATCCCTGCATCTCGGTGATGTTGCCCAGCGGTCACGTCTCACTCACGCTCTGCATCGGCCACTACTTGGCACTGCTCCAGATGGCAGCTCTGAGGGCTGGGGCTCTGTCTCCTCCATCTCTTCCCCTCCTGTGTTCCCGGCTGAAACAGCTGCACCCTCCAGGAGACGCCCTTGCCACGGAAGAGAGCAGAGGAGGGGTGGAAGAGACTTGTAAGTCCTTTCAAAATGATTTGATTGCTTTTTAATTCTACAAAGTCTTTACCCGTTTTTGGACAATCTGTAGTAGCTACGCATGTTATGGAGCTCAGTGTGAGATTTCCAGGACATGGATACAGGTGCACCGATCAAATCCCAGTAAGATGCGTTTCCATCACTCCTTCTTTACGTTGGAAGCCTTCAACCTCCGTTCTTCCAGTTCTTGATAAAATTCACAACGGATGGCTGTGAGATAGAGTCAGCCCAGGCTTGGGCAGGCTCAGGACGAACTTCCTGCCTCCCACGTCCTGTTGGCCAAGTCCAGAGTCACTGAGGAGAGGACTGGTCAGCCTCCGCTGGAAGAAGCTAGTTTCAAGGTCACCAGCATGGAGGGGCAGTGGACTCTGGGAGCAATCAGTCAGCATGTCGTCCCTGCCTGCTGGTGAGTTCTTGGAAAGTGGAGGTGGGGAATAATCCCCCTTGTAGCTAAGGTACAGTAGGCACTCAGCCAGTGTCTGAGTGCTGAGTGGGTACTTTTCATAGCAAAGCCACCCGCTCACTGTTGTCGTGTGAGGCATCTCCTGTCCACAAGGTTTTTTCTCGCCCTCTGTGTATGTCCTGTTAGCTATTACTTGGCAAATTTGCCTTGAGCCTAGAATGTCTGCAGGGTGTTCTTCCTTTCCCGTGACCTGGGGGTATGAATTTATCATCCAGGACGAGGTGAGCAGCCCAGCAGGCATGGAGACTGGGCGTCAGGCACGCATGGAGGGTGGGGGTTGACTCCTCACCCCGGGGATGACAACAACGATGGCGCCAGAAAGACACTCCACCTCCACAAGCCCGATTCCCCGCCACCAAGTGGGGCGAGAAACCTAGCCTATGACTGCGTGCAGAAAGGTGTGTGCTGTGCATAGTCCCCAAAGAGTCGTTTTCTCAAAAGCATGGAGCACACTGATAATGGTTAGAATATGCACAAGGCATGAGGATAATTGCAACGTTCTCCTATGAAGAGTCAAGTGCGGAAGTGGACTGTGGACTTGGTGTCTGGATCGTGGTTCTCCTAGGAAATGCGTGGCCATCCCATGGTCTTCTGTTCCTCCCTGCCAGTACCCTGGCTCCCAGATGGGGCCATTCCGGCAACTGAGGGGCTGCCGTGGGACTAGCCAGTCATCCGTGTCTTCATGAACCCACAGAGCCCCGAGGCCACTGACAGACCGTGGGCTCTCACTCCAGCCCTTTCCCATTCTGGGTCTCAGTGCCCTCACGGGTAAACTGACAACACTGAGCAAAATCCGCCCGTGCCTGTGTCCCACCAGAGCTGACTTGGGTTAGGGATCCAATCCTCATGACTGCAGCCAGTCATTCTGCAAACACACAGCGTCGTGAAACTCACAGCCGCGTTTGCTTCATTGAGTTGGCTAAGAGGTTCATTGCGTGGCAGGACCCAGGAAACAAGTGAATCGGGTTGCTCCGACTCAGCAGGATCGTGCATGCAAAGGGCCAGTGGAGCTCTCTTCACTGTCCCTGATGGCTTTTGGATGGATGGCTCCATCTTTGTTCTGGGAAGACAGCGTTGTCTCTGACATGCGCTAGCTGCTTCGGGGACTCCCCAGGTGGGAGCTTGGGTGCGTTGCTTCTTTCTCTCTGCTCAGCTGGTAAGACATGGTCTGGTCTCAGCCAGGGCCCCCGTGTCTCCGAGGTGGCATTTTCTCATCCTCTGTCTGCTGCTGCTGGCATTGGAAATTATTCCTAATTCGGATGCCCCAGGGCCGGTTCCTCCTCTTGGTATTGACTGCCTGACGATCCCACTCCAAGAGCAGGTGGACAGATGACCGGATGAAGACTTTGGAGCAGAAAAGCAGAACCAGGTGATGAGCGCTCAGCGCGCTCTACAGGGGTCCTGCTGGTGGCTCACCCGGGGCGACAGGCGCAGCTGCGGGCCTCTGCCCAGCTAGCCACTGCTGGGGGGCATCTTATTTTAAAGATTTATTCATTTATTCAAAAGTCAGAGTTACATACAGAGAGGAGGGGCAGAGAGAGAGAGAGAGAGAGGTCTTCCATTCGGTGGTTCACTCACCAGATGGCTGCAACAGCCAGAGCCAGGAGCCAGGAGCCAGGAGCTTCTTCCAGGTCTCCCATGCGGGTTTAGGGGCCCAAGGGCTTGGGACATCCTCTACTGTTTTCCCAGGCCATAGCAGAGAGCTGGATCGGAAGAGGAGCAGCCGGGACTAGAACCGGTGCCCATATGGGATTTAACCCACTGTGCCACAGCACCGGCCCCGACTGTGGGGCATCTTCTACGTGGTTGTCAGTGGCCCCACGCTTGCAGGCCAGAGCACAGCGTATCGCAGGGCTGACCCTCTTACGTGAACAGGTGTTCTTACCTACGGGATGATGCAGAATCTTCCACAGAGCCAGAGCAAACTGGCCGCTCCTGGCTGCTCCCTCAAACATCGGAACACGGTAGTTCAGCTAGAAACAATGTCATTTCCCAGGCATCATTCCAGGAGGAAGGTGATACAAAGTGCATTGTGGGAACCTCGCCTGATCATGACCACGCCCATGAGGCTGAGGACAGCTTGGTCCGGGTCTCCCCCCAGCTCTTCCTCGGCAGTGCAGCCAGCCACAGGAACCTGCCTGACCCCCAGGCACCTGCTCACTGGCCCGCCCCAGGACATAGCACACTGGACTATGGGCACACCTTCCAGATGTGCCCCTGGGATTGCTGGGAATAATTTCAAGACACACTGACCTACCTCTAATTTCACATTCTCTCGGAAGATACAGGACTCCCATTGGACAAACGGGGACGGGCAGAATTCAACAGGGGGAGGAGGAGGTAGAGGAAGGAGCACATTGCTGGAGGACAGAGGGCTGGAGAACAACACAGGCGCCAAATGTTCAGGGTGGGATGTTACAGATTTGTGGAGTTGATGCCACCTCCACCAGGGAGCCTTCCGGGGTTCCCAGCAGGGAGTCACCCTTCCCTCTGCCCTCTCCTGCCGCACTCACACCTCTGTTCTCTGACAGTCATGTGGGCTGTGGAATGCTTCTACCAACGGAGGGTGGGCCCTCTTTAAGGAAGAGACTGCAAACTAGCAGAGTGGGTACAAACATGGATAGATTTGGAATCATAAAACCCAGGCCGGCGCCGCGGCTCACTAGGCTAATCCTCCGCCTAGCGGCGCCGGCACACGGGGTTCTAGTCCCGGTTGGGGTGCCGGATTCTGTCCCGGTTGCCCCTCTTCCAGGCCAGCTCTCTGCTGTGGCCAGGGAGTGTAGTGGAGGATGGCCCAGGTGCTTGGGCCCTGCACCCCATGGGAGACCAGGAAAAGCACCTGGCTCCTGGCTCCTGCCATCGGATCAGCGCGGTGCACTGGCCGCAGCGCGCCGGCCGCGGCGGCCATTGGAGGGTGAACCAACGGCAAAGGAAGACCTTTCTCTCTGTGTCTCTCTCTCACTGTCCACTCTGCCTATCAAAAAAAAAAAAAAAAAAACAAACAAACAAAAAAAAAAAACCAGGTGGTAAAGACAGGTTTTGCTACGTGGTGCATTTGGGACAGTGGGAAAGTCACGCACACACTCGCTCTTGGATCCCACGTCTGTAACGGGTGACACTACGAACGACCACCGAAACAGAGGATTGAGATCTGGAAAACAAAGCCCCTGCCCCAGCCCCTGTCGCAAGTCAAGCACACGGAGTTCAGCTGTCAGCTCCCGGAAGGACCGGTGCTGGACTCAGCCCTCCGTCAAGCGTTTTAGAAGTAACCCAGGAATTTCTAGACGGCTCGCTGTCACTCAACCCCCGAGAAGGTTTGTGCCCCGAAACCTCTGCGTCCGCCCACCCCGTGGGGTAAATGGAGACGGCAAATCACTCACCCGCGCTCGGTTCTGATTTTTGCTGCCGCGTGAGCTTGTGCCAAATTTACGAACCAACATCTGGCTTTCAGAGCTCTCTGGATTTCGGGATTTCCGATAAAAGGTTGTGGACTTCTGGCACATCCCCCGGGAACGTCGCTGGACCACATGACCACACGCTGGGGGAACGCAGGCAGCAGGCTGCAAGGCCCGTGGGCTGCTGGGTGCGCGGTGACGGATGGCTCGCCCTGCCCAGCGGCCTCCTCCTTGGGCTCTGACCCTTCCCTGGGCAGACGAATCCAGGAATGCAGAGACCCACGTGGGCTTCACGGGCCCCTTGACACCACCTGTCCAGCCGCTGCTGAGAGGACACTTCCAATCCGGCAACGTTTGCTCGGCCCCTGTCTCGCAGGATTGCTGTGGCCCGAGAGAGGGCCTGGATGGCTCAGCGATGCCGGGACCCAGGCCAGAGGTGGCCGTGAGCCTCTCGGCGGGGCAGGGCCTGATTTCCAAGAAGATTTCATGCTGCCAGGATGTCATCAGCCACCCCCATGGCCACGTAGTGGGCAGGGAGCTGGGGCCGCATGGTAGGTCCCCATGGCCACATAGTGGGCAGGGAGCTGGGGCCACATGGTAGGTCCCCATGGCCACGTAGTGGGCAGGGATCTGGGGCCGCATGGTAGGTCCCCATGGCCACGTAGTGGGCAGGGAGCTGGGGCCGCATGGTAGGTCACCATGGCCACATAGTGGGCAGGGATCTGGGGCCACATGGTAGGTCCCCATGGCCACGTAGTGGGCAGGGATCTGGGGCCGCATGGTAGGTCCCCATGGCCACGTAGTGGGCAGGGAGCTGGGGCCGCATGGTAGGTCCCCATGGCCACATAGTGGGCAGGGAGCTGGGGCCACATGGTAGGTCCCCATGGCCACGTAGTGGGCAGGGATCTGGGGCCGCATGGTAGGTCCCCATGGCCACATAGTGGGCAGGGAGCTGGGGCCACATGGTAGGTCCCATGTCCCTGGAGGGACCACGGCCTCACCCACCCACGTGCCCAGCCCCCGGGGAAGAAGTCCCAGAAGGCAGGCTTCAGTGAGGCCATTGCAGCCCCAGGCTGAGTTTCAACAGGCTTGCGGGGGACGTTTCTAGCAGGGTCCAGAGGTCATGTTCTTGAGCACGCCGGAACCACACCCTGCCCCTGAGCAAACCGGGCTTCCTCAAAAATCTCAAGTCAATGCAATGAAACCTCAGTGTCTGTTGATTCCGAAATTTTTGAAATCCGTGCACATGAGCACTTTGACGAGTTCACTAAGAATGCAGATCACACACACAAAACAAAACAAAAATCTCTGCATGGACTTCATCTATTTTGAACTGAAATAAACTTACCATTGGATTCCATTTCCGTGAGGTCTTGGAGCTCCCTCGTGTTAACAGGATGCGCACTCCCAGGTCCCAGCCCCGGCTCGGAGACTCCATCCGACTTAGCGTGTGCGCGCTTTACTGGTTTTCTTCCTGGGAGACAGAAAGACAGGAGGCCGCCCTGGACCTGTTTCTTTCCTTCTCCCAAACTTCAGGCCAAGTTTTGATTTGTGTTTTGCTTTTAGTCAAAATAAGGTGTGGTTTGCATTGCCAGCGTCTCAGGGACTCTGAAGGGCTTCCAAAGCCGCTTTTCCTACGTTCCTGAGAGGACACAGGAGAGGGCTCCACTTGGCCTCTGTACCCCCAGAAGGCACCCAGCCCCCCAAAGCCCATCTGGTCTCTCAGCCGGAATGGTTAAGAATTCCGAGGGCTGGTTTTGGCAGTGACTTCATTGTAATAGTGCAACATCCCCACAGGCAATTTTCTTTGATTTAATTAGATGAACTGGTATTTTTTTTTTCTTTTTGCAAAAAGGCTTTATTATGTAGGAATGAAATATGTATAAATTTAATTTTTAATCTTGTCACTACAGAGTGGGAAGGAGCAAGTTGATTCTTTTAATTTACTCTTTGTTTAAGAAAAAAATTAATTAATCTTATCCCAGTGTTTATGAGGAATTGATGCGAGTTTTTGCACGGCAGTCAGGAGGGAGAGGGTTAAGACTGCCCAACTTGGCCTCAGCCTGAAAACCCAGTGGGACTGTGTTTCCACACCCAAGCGCTGGCTGTTAGGGAGTGAGCTCCATAGCCCCGCCCCTGAAGACGGCTGGTTTGGCTGTGCCGCGGAAGCCACCGTGTCCCCTAGTTCACCATGGCTTGCTTTACAACTTGTTAAATATTTGTTTATTTCTTTTCATTTTATTTGAAAGGCAGAGAGAACAGAAAGAGAGACAGAGACAGATAGAGGAATGCCTTCCATCCACTGGTTCACTCCCAGATACCCACAAGAGCCAGGACTGGGACAGGCTGAAGCCAGGAGCCAGGAACTCAACCCAGGTTTCCCACGTGGGCGGCAGGGACCCCAATACCTGAGCGGCCCTCCGCTGCCTCACGGGTGTGCGTTAGGAAGCTGGACTGAGAGCAGAGGCCGAGGCTGCCGCAGGCACTCGCGTGGGATGTGGGCGGCCCAAGTGGCGTTTGGACGGCTGTGCTGAATGCCCGCCCTCTATCTATTCATGAACGTTTTCGACTTTTCAGTGGTGCCGAAGTGATATAAAATCCATCAAAATCATCCTTCAAAGTTTGCATTTTGTTCTTCTTCTAAGCCATCTAGTCCAATCCCGTCTCGTGATCTTGGCCAGTCTCCCGGTTACAAGCACGGGCAGACGCTACTGCGCGGTGCCCTTGTGGCTACGGTAGGTGGATTCGGTGCATTTTCTACATCGCGATACTGTCAGTGCACAGGGGGTTTATCAGGGCACAGCCCCATTACAGTCGAGGACCACGTGCAGATTCTGATCGGAGACGGGAGTGACAGTGCGGGTGCTGTCTCTGTGGACGCCACTGGGCCCGTTAGATGCTCAGCGCCGGTTTTCTGCTTGTCATCATTGACTGTCTCCTGCCCACGGCTAGCATCTGGGTCTGGCATCAGCTGGGTGGAGCCGGGAGGCCTTTAGTTCCTGCGCCTGGAGGGGCAAGTGCTGTGCTTCCCAAACTTTGGTGTGCATGATGAACGCAGATGAAGTTTGCGGAATCTCGGGTTCCAGTCCCAGGAAGCCAACATGGCAGCTGTGTGGTGGGGCCAGGAGTGACCCAGAGCCCAGGTGATTGGATACCGTGGCAGAGAGGAGGGGCACGGATCCTTGCCTCTGTTGGTAACCTCCGCAGGTTACTCCCGGCTTTCACTAGACTGCTCCACCCCTTTATACCCCATGCCAACCTGGCTCACTTCTGCTGTGTGCATAACTGTTTCCTGTGAATATACATGGAGACACTTCAAAAAGTCCATGGAAAAATGCAATTAAAAACACGGTTGGTGGTGAACGGCCAAGCCCCCACTTGAAATGACTGCGTTCCGTGTTGAGTGTGTGGGCTCGAGTCAAACCTCCACTTCTGATCCAGCTTCCTGCCAGTGTGGACCACCCTGGGAGGCAGCAGGCAAGGGCTCAGTACCTGAGTTACTGGTGCTAGATGGGGTTCTGGCTCCTGAGTTTGAAGAGGCCCAGCCTTGGCATATGGGGAGTGAACAGGGATTCTCTCTCTCTCTCTCTCTCTCTCTCTCTCATAGAATAAATAAATAAACTTTAAAAAGAAATGTCTGTTGATGCCAAAAAATTTGGAAAACCATGTATAAGAGGGATCTTTTTAAAACAGCCATGGAAAATACATATTATGAAAGAGTCATGCATGAATTTCAAAACATTTTTGCAGCAAACTAAACGTATCTTTTTATTCCATTTCCATGAATTTCTTGAAGTACCCTTGGACATATATAAAATCTACTCTTATAAAACAATATATAATTATATTTCTTATTTTATTATAAAAATGTAGAACATTCAGAGAAGTAAACAGAAAACAATCACACTGATGCCATTTTTATATGAATTCTAAATTTGTGTTTGGTAAAATGGTTGTTAAGCGTTTCAGACAAACACCTGCTTTGGACAGGGCTTTCCAGCCTCGGCGACATGGGAGGGGATCTCCTCTCTGTCCCTGCAGGATGGCCAGCAGCATCCCTGGCCTCAGCTGTGAGATGCCAGGAGCCCTCCCACCTCCGGCTTTGGCAGTCGCTAGACTCTACACACTGTCCAGTGTGCGCTGGAGGGCAAAGCTGCTCCTAGCTGCAAACAGCTGGAGCCCCAGAGGCTGAGCAGGCTGCACTGGACTCCGAGCCCCAGAGGCTGACCAGGCTGCACTGGACTCTGAGTCCCAGAGGCTGACCAGGCTGGACGGGACTCTGAGCCCCAGAGGCTGGCCAGGCTGCACTGGACTCCGAGCCCCACAGGCTGACCCGGCTGGACTGGACTCCGAGCCCCACAGGCTGACCAGGCTGCACTGGACTCCGAGCCCCAGAGGCTGACCAGGCTGGATGGGACTCCGAGCCCCACAGGCCGACCAGGCTGGACTGGACTCCGAGCCCCACAGGC